TATGCTATTGACAGAGTTATATGTATGTGATCAACACCTGACCTCTTTTCGTAATGCGGTCGAATTTGATTTTCTGAAATTGCACCCCCAATATGTTGCCGAAAGACGTAATCCTACGTAAAAAAATACTCTTTACCAAATTTATGATGGTCCTGAAAAGACCGTTTTCTCGTGATGGTTGAGTAATGCTGATCTATTAGGGTGTTCAACACGGATAAGGATGGCGAGCTGTATGTTATATGGAACTCACAAACAGGCTGCTTTTTCATGGTATACACAGTGTGATATTCAATAATCAATTAATTATCTCAACATTTAGTGGCAGACCATTCATAAATTTTGGTAACATACACAAATTCTATAATTCATATTAATTTCCTATGCCGATCGAAACAAACATTATGACGTCACTACAAGGGTGACTGAGTAAACGAATCGTGCGAATCGAAATGAAAACCGAGTGAAAAACGAATTGCACCAATACATTCAGACCTACAATTCCTCACCTTCTATAGGACCAGGTTGAGCTTTGATAGTTAGCTGCTTGCGGGAACTGACATCCGATTGATAACCTTTACAATATCCAAAACATACTCTTCAACAAATTTGTGGTAGCGGCGCCGCGGTGGTGCGCCGGTGGTGTAGTGGTAAGCGTGATTACCTTTTCACCCCAGCAGGCTTGAGGCATAATATCTCTGAAGTAAAGCCGTTGGTCCCCGGTTCATGAGTTGATGGGTCGAAAGGTAGGGTCCAGGTGTGGGAGCTGCCTCTCTGGCATCGGTAGCATTGGTGCTCAGCACGGAAAACAAGATCGACGGAAAACAAATCAAGGAAAAAAAAAACAAATTTGTGGTGGTCCTGAAAAGGACCGTTTAGTCGTGATGGTTGAGTAATGCTGAGCTATTGGGGTGTGGTTGGCGAGCTGTTAATTGTTTGGAGCAAGGTTGACACGCTTGGCATAGATGACCCACAGCTACTCACGAGGAAACTGATTTCGATCCAGCGGCTTCTTCCTCCTTCTATGAGTGCTCATGTGGGCTCTGCAGGTCACTGCTTGCAGGCTGCCTTTCGTGGGGTACGCCACACGCTAATCACTGCTGCTGCTGTTGACGTTGACGACCGGACACCACCACACACGGTTATTTAATGAGCACCGTTCAGTGAGACAGGATCGAATTCGATTTTTAAATCTGTGTTAGGGAATGCGCTGTTTGCAGGTAATCGGTGATAATTTTCATCACCATTGCAACAGTTGGACATTTGTGTATTTTTCAATAGTGACCTATTGAAAATTAATAAAGTGTTCAATTCAGCAGATTGGTAGATAAATTCCCAAATCTTTGGCTTGTTTAGAATTAAAATTCATCTGCTATTGACAGAGGTATATGTGGTCAAAACCTGATCTATTTTCGTCCCTTGGTTTTTTTTTAATTACAATATGTTGCCGAAAGACGTAATCCTACGTCAAAACATTATTTGTTGGCAGATCCTAAACTTCCAGTTGGAAGCTGAAAATCATGAAGAAGAAGATTAAAATTCATGGAAAAATATGATTTCTGGGGAGAAGCTAAAACATCGAGTGAGGGTGCGATTGTGAGGTCGATGAAGCATCATATCAGAACATTTAATTACTCACCGTACGTACTACAAGTGCAAGCCCATGCAGCTCAATAATCCTACTCACTCCTATATAAACAACTGATGAACTGAACTTCAACATCAGCAACAGCTGATGTAGTCTACACTCATTGTCCCAATCAACTGTCCAATCCATGGCTTTCAGTGCGTACGTGTGTATGTGTGTATGTACTTACACGCATTCATAAATCAGATCGCACAAACCCTGAATGACATCGGTATGATTTGTTGGTCGGTTCAAGCGAGGATGGAAGCTGTTGTTGTGCCACTATGTTCAACAGTAGGAAGTGAGAAAGTGTCCTCCGAATGTGGCGATTAAGGTGGGGGGGGGGGGGGGGGGTTGGTGATGGGTCGACGGCATGAACGTTGAGCGAACAAACCCCCGGAATCAATCGTGGCAAATATTTGCTTGTCCAAAGAGAAGTGATCTCGTCATCGTTCATCATCGTCAGTTGAATCGTCAGATTTGGTGGTTGATGCCAGTAGTGCAATATATTGAATCATTGAAGACGCACTATGTTTGTCAGCGGAAATGTTTCACCTTATGCTTCAATATTTGGAAGGGTATTTTTCTTGCAAATCCGTGTTCAGAATGCTTTGAGTATCATAGGAGTTTTGCCATTTAGCTTTAACATTTAAATTTGATAGAGCAATGATTTAATGTGGTGCCTACGGGAGGCATGTCAACAATCAGATGTAAGAAAAATTATTCATCAGAGTTACTGTGATTGAATGCCTATCATTAATTTGGATAATAAATATTGAAAAAGTCTTCAACATTGCGCAAAAATCTGCTAAATGCAGCATTAATAGTTCTTGATTGTGAATACAAATTTTGACATCTTATTGGGAATGTCGGATGTTCTCGAAAATGAAAATAAATAAGGCATTGTCAAATGGTTGTTTCAACCCTTATACAATCGTGGTACGATGGAAAACCGTGGGACTTTGAACATTTTTCAAAATATGATGGCATTACGTACGACATTCCATATTTTGTATGAATTGACTTTGTTTCATGTTATAGGAAATAGTTGAAATTGAATTCAAGACCAACAATTGAAATGGCCTTAACTCCATTTTGTAAACAAACCTTGTAAGGCCATTTTCTCGAGAACCGAAACCTTCATTCGCAAACCTAAACCACATCCTAAGCTCATCACTTCTGCAATCCGAAAATCAACCCGTGCCTTGTCAATACTGTCAATTTTTCTTATCGCTGTTCAATATCTTCCTCAATCATCAGTTTCCGATCGTGAAGAGAAGGTAAACAAAAACAATCTGCGTCAAAGCGGCACAACGGTATAATCCATGTGTGCACAGAAAAGAAGGGGAAGTGAAAACGAATCAGTGTATCACAAAGTTGGACAACACTTCTGATCACCGAGCGATGCTTGTGGATGCGCTTCCCACGGGTTTTCTTTGGGTACGCACACCATCAAAGCATGCTGCCCATGTGAGCTGCAGGTAAAGTTTCCCTTCTGCCGCTAGGTACGCTAGTGTTCACAAAAATAAATGGAGCCACTTTTGGATCCGAAGCTCCATTTCTGTTCTGTGCAGTGTGTGTAGAAAACGAACTTCGTGAAACGGAACGGAACGCGTGACACTTAGCACTTTCCGCAAGCTCTGGTGGTGATTACGAGAAGTTATACTTGTGTTACAGTGCTACCAGTTCGTCTATTGCCTTTACACACGAAATGGAAATCTGCTGCGCATTGAACATGTCTGCTGCTGACGTTGTTTGCGGTGGTTTTTGCAAATCGATATTCCACTTTAACTGTGCAAATAATAATAACGAAGGCTATGTACAAGCAAATTAACGGAAATGCAGCAACTATGGAACTGAAGAACGGAGATAAAGGACAGCTTGATCGCAGAATTGCAACTGGAGATCCAAGGGGGTTTCAACAAGCTTCCTCTAGCTATCTTACCACCTCTACGTCGCCCCTTTTAATGTTGGCCCTCGATTGACACCGAAGAGAACACGTGACGAAGACCCCGCACTTCCCGGTCAACCAACACCAATATTTCGTGGCACCAGTTTGTCAGCTAATGGAGCACTTCAGGTTGCGGCTGATGTATCAGACAGCATATTTTGGAAGCGGAAATCCATAACCTAGCCAAGGTTTGCTTGCAAACGGACGACATCGTGGCTAAATCACTGATTCCCAAGGGCCGACCGTTCACTTTCATGTGTCCAGCTCCACGTCTAACTTTACTAACCAACACCGCATCCAGTTCTGCTAACACAAAGTAGTGTAGCCGTTCCGTTAACCATCTACCACAGACAAACAGACATAACACATTGAATATTTTTCAATGTAAAACGTCGTCGTTAAAACACTACCGCCATCTGTTGAGTATACAATGATGGGTAGTACGCTGAACAGATGGCGGTAGTGTGGTTATTGACTATGCGCGCCACAAGTGGCGGTACTACCAACTAAAAACATTTAAATTTACCGTTAAATGCGAGGGTTATGACTCTATCTACGATGCAGGAAATATTGTGTTTTGCTGTGGCTAGCTGCGCGTACGCTGAGTAGATAGAAAGAAGATTTATGACGATTTTGAAGATTTCTTGCAAAAAGCTGGTGCGCGATGCAAATGAAAGAAGATTTTTCGAAGATTTATTCGCTAGTGTGAGATTCTTCGAGCATCTTGAATTGAGATGTAGATGTGTCGCCCCCCTCGGTTAAATGCGTGTTCGATAAACAAATTGCCAGAATTATGTTTGTTTGTCTGTGCATCAACTATCAGAGCGTTCGTTGGAGGCATGCGTACCATGACTAACAACTTCTTTTTTTAGCCTGCTGCTTCCGGCATTTACCGAACCTATACTTTGATTAATCTATCGGGAGATTTTCTCCCACTGCATTTTTTTAATAAGTTCATGAGTTGTAAATTTACCTAAGAATTCAGAGAACCCGAAATATTAACCAGCAATAAAATTTTCTCGCTCGATGCTGAAAAAACATTTATTTTATCCCCAGCCGTAATTTACAACAGCTCAATCGAGCTTCATTGAAGTATAAGCACCGACCAAATGGTAGAAAAAGCACGTGGGGGTTGGAACACGAGAGAAAAGTTCATTAAAAAGCTGATTATAAATTCATTTATTTTCCCATTATTATGGTCGTCCTCGTCGTCGTCGGTCGATGTCACAAAGATCGATCATGTTCCTGCTACGCCTGCCACTTTCTCTCGGGTTTCACAGTTCCTAGGTAATACAAAAAAGGACCACCTTCAGCGCAGCTTCTGTTGCAGTTTGAGTTTTTTTTTTTAATTATACGCTTCATCTTTGATGCATGTTTTCTCTTGATTTATGTTTTTCAACGATTTCCTTTTTCTCTTTTTTACAGCTACATCGTCACTGCTGCCCTATTTAACCATTCACATGCAAAGCACCGGACTGACGGTGGAGGAAATTGCAATCATCTACCTGGCGTTGCCATTCACGACCTTCCTCAGTCCACCGATTACAGGTTAGTAGCAGAAGAAGTTCAAAAGAAGGGCGCTCCTATCTCGGTGTAGCAAATTCTTCTGGTATTAGGTATTCACCGTAGCGATACAGACGATATTTTGATTGACAATGGGGATTGTTCGGGAAATTGATCAATTCAGAAGCAATTGCAGAATGGAAACAACTATTGATTTTATTTGCGATCATTGATTCATGTTTCTGTGGATTAGAAATCATATGAATATCTGACGGTCGTTAAAGATTATTTCCGTTTCCCAACACACGAACGGTTGATGGATGATCTGCTTCTTATCCATACAAAGGATTGAGAATTCGATTGAATAGACAAATGTTGCGTGATGTATTCATTATGTTCGCCATACGTCGTTTAATATAGTGGCTTACCTATTCGGTAATGTGTTGTGATGTGATGTGTTGTCTTTCGTTAGCTGAAGATCAAAATTTCATCCTTGAAAAACTGCACGTTTATCAGGCACTTAGAATGGCGACCAGCGAATCGAAATTGTGTATGCCGAGTCGCATTTGCGGCAGCCACCATATTGCGTTATTGGGATCATTCTTGGCCGCGTTATTTTCCCTCATAGCTGATTTGAGGCCGGGCTGGATTGTTTGACAGCCGTTACGTTTAAAGAGTGATACGGTCAAAATTTGGTCAAGGGAAAACGCGTGTAAATCGGTGAAATCGTTTATTTAAAAAATCAAATTAAATTTCTTTTTCAAGTTAAATTAGTATAAAATTCAGGAAAAATATTCAGTTAGGCTTCCGCTTTTCCAAATCCGAATTGCCGGGCCTTACGCTTGACCCCTGCCATCGGATTTTGTACAGCCACCTTGTCCACCTTCTTCGCCGCAGAAAGCCAGTTTGCCTTGAACTGCTGCTCGCCCTTAGCAGTTTTTTTGGTCTTCTTTAGGTTCCGCTTGACAATAGCCCAGTATTTCTCAATTGGGCGGAGCTCTGGCGTGTTGGGAGGGTTCTTGTCCTTGGGAACCACCTGCACGTTGTTGGCGGCGTACCACTCCATGGCCTTTTTACCGTAATGGCAAGATGCCAAATCCGGCCAAAACAGTACGGAACAACCGTGTTTCTTCAGGAAAGGCAGCAGACGTTTATTCAAACACTCTTTCACGTAAATTTCTTGGTTGACAGTCCCGGAAGCTATGAAAATGCTGCTTTTCAAGCCACAGGTACAGATGGCTTGCCAAACCAGATATTTCTTTGCGAACTTTGACAGTTTCATGTGCTTGAAAACATCTGCTACCTTTCCCCTTCCTTTTGCCGTATAAAACTCCTGTCCCGGAAGCTGCTTGTAGTCGGCTTTGACGTAGGTTTCGTCGTCCATTACCACGCAGTCAAACTTCGTCAGCATCGTCGTGTACAGCCTCCGGGATCGCGCTTTGGCCGTCGTATTTTGTTTATCATCGCGATTTGGAGTCACTACCTTCTTGTAAGTCGATAGTCCGGCTCGTTTTTTGGCTCGATGCACGGTTGTAGACGATACACCCAGCTTATTTGCGGCATCTCGGAGAGAGAGGTTAGGGTTTCGCTTGAAACTACCGGCAACTCTCTTTGTCGTCTCAGCGGCTTCCGGTTTTCGATTTCCCCCCGATCCAGACTTCCTGGCTGTCGACAAACGTTCCCCAAACACTTTAATTACATTTGTAACGGTTGATTTGGCAACTTTTAGCGATTTTGCCAACTTTGCGTGCGAGTAGCTCGGATTTTCGCGATGCGCGAGCAAAATTTTGATACGCTGCTCTTCTTGCTTGGACGGCATTTTGACAACTGAAGAGTGAATTCCAAAATCAAAATAGGAGCAACATTCTACACACACACACCTTCAAAATGAGGGGTGTTCAGGTTTTTTAAATGCAAAATTGAAAGAAATACGTCAAGTTGATATTGACCAAATTTTGACCGTATCACCCTTTAATGTGAAACTTTGCCGCCTGCGGCAGATTTTTCAGATCGTTTTCTGAGCTGAGAATCCGTGGACGTTTGCATTGGAAAAGTGGCCTGTTTCGTGGGAGAATTGGACGTCGCAGTGCTCTGTTCAATTTTGCTGTGTTGTTTTCTCTTGTAAATCATCACACGCTTTCACGACTTTTGTTGAAATTTTACATCCATGTTCAAGTTTCGAGAAAATGTTCACGATGTCAAGCACAACTCATGAACTTCAATCACGTTTGCCAGAACCAGATTATGAGTTTCAGAACACAGTTCACGTTTCTATGAATTTTGTTGCCATTACTGGTTCCCGTGCACCGTAACGCAGGCATTACGTATAATTTACGGAACAATGTTCGCGATTCCATGATTTTTATTCATGGTGTACTTTCGTAAATGACAAAAGTGAGGTGTTCCGAAATTCATGACTTGAGGTTGACATATTTCGGAACGGATTTTTCCCCGTGTTGAGATGTCATCGTCGAGGATGAGTTGAATGGTTCCGTTTTGAGGCCACAACTGCAAATCGCATGCCAAATCATGGCCTTCTTCGCAAACTTGTTGGCAAACACGAACTTGAATCTTCCCGGCACATTCCCACATCCAGTCGCGATGTAGGTAAAACATTTGACCGAGAAGCTGGTTAAAATCTGAGTGGTGCGGAGAAACACGAAATGGTTGTCAAAAAGAATCCAACTGGTGCTGTCAAAAAGAATCCAACGATCTAGAGCTGCTAAAAGTGATACTTTTCTCATACAATCCCCGTCGGCAGAGAAAGTATTGTGGTCATTGTTGAAAATATTGTCATTTCGACATTTTTTTACTAATATTCTTCAACAAAAAACTTGCTCAAATACTCGGATGTAAACAATGTAACGAACGAACGAACCTGCACGAACTGCTAAAGGAAGAATGCAAACAAACTTTATAAGAGTCATGTGGGTAGGTGCACTCCCAACACCATGTACACGTTATTTATGGAGCAAAGGGTGAACTTTCGACAGCATGTATATGCAAATTGTGAGCAGTGCATTAGCAAAACAATTTGTGATATCGGAAAATTCTCAAGTTGTTTCCTGCTGACTTGCAAAACAAAAACGGCTGTGTTCGCAGTACCCAGGTTAAAATCATCTTCTTTCCTTTATTTAACGTCGGTCTCTGTTCCGCAATCTAGTGCCAATCACCGACGGACATCGATTGCTATCCATTGACGGCAATCGAATGTGCAGGAAGGCAGCTTCCACACCTGCGTAGGATATCCAACCAATCCAAACACACATGGGTCGGGACCAACGGCTTTACTTCCCTTCCGAAGGAAGACTTGACCAGAGATTTTTATGCCTAAAAAAAAACCAACGACCTCGGCTGGGATTGAACCCAGACCCATTGGGGTGAGAAAGCAGTCACACTTACCACTACACCATCGGTGCCAGCTCTTAAAATCATGTTTGACGTATGTTTTGCCATCGATCAAAGTGCAGCACTTGTGTTTCGTCAAAACACGGTCGTACAAGAGCCTTGCAAGCTTTTTGGCCACGGAATTCAGCTTCATGTGCCGCTTCGGATGTTTACTGGCTTTGTACGACTTGTATCCTTCCCTGGCAAGGATGTTCCGCACCGTTTGAAAGTTTGCGTTGTACCTTCTGGCCACATCTCGAATCGAAAGACCGGGTACCATTAACGTACCTCAACACATTGCTGCACAGTTGACGATCCAGTTTTTTCGTAGGTCCACTGATTCCTTTCTATACTCAGGGTTTCCTTGTAAGTTTTGAGCACTCGACAAACTGTTTGTTTTTTGTCATCTTCAGCACTTTAGCCAGCTTTGAACCGAACCACTCCGGATTTTCCAGGTGTTTGTGCACAATATTCTTTCTTTTTCGAGTTCCATTTGACGTTTTTTTTTCTGTACGCGATCGATTACTTTGATCAAACTTGCACTAGTTGTTCTCTATAGAAGTGTAAACAAACCACTGTCAGAGATTTTTGATTCCCAACCCTAGATGCTTGCTAGCGGCGCGTGAAATGTCTTGCTCATTTTGAGCTACTAAATTTATTGCATAGGGTGACGGTCTTACCACGTCTTTCCCTACAGGCTTAGAAAGCTCTCAAAAACTAACTGTGGATATGCTCAAAGAACACTAAGTTGAGATCGGGCGTAAACTCCCAGTAGGGACGTAATAAAGCCAAAGAAGAACCTAGTTGACAAAGAAGCACTAACTGACCCCAAGGATTCAAAGTGAGTGGAGATGCTGTGCCTGTCCCGTTGCTTCTCGGCAACGGGACAGGCGTGTTTTGTCACAGCATCGCCACGCACTTTGAACCCGTGGGGTTCTGTCAGCTACAAAGTTTACACGCTAAACTGTAACGTGCCAGTGCGGTGTTACTCCCAGCACTGATGAGACCCCCGTCTCCAAGCCTCAGGGTCGGCACACGCTCGTGACAATTCCGCGATTCAAGAAAACACTTAAAGTTCGCTCAAGACAAACCCTCACTTTATTTGCTTTTGTTAATTTCACTTCCTTCACACTTCACAGACGGTCTAGACTCTGACGTCTCCCACTTCCTTAGTTGACTACTCCTACCTTGTGCTAGCGCTACTCTTCTTTGGGGCTCCTTCACCTGCCACTGCCGTCGTCATCGTTCCTCTCCTTCCTCTGGTACCGCGTCACCTTCTTGGGCCATTGGTGGACGCCTCTATCTGTCCCGTACGCCCCTTGAGTATGGTAAGGGACTCGAGGCTTCAACGAACTACAGTGGTAAGTTGGCTTGTCTGGATTGGTGGTGCACACTGTAGCTGTAAGATCAGGTTAACGATCTACGATTCGGACACACTACCGGCGATTGGCATGGTCGACTCCGGAAAAATACGTTGAGTACGTTAACGTTACGGTAAAACCGCGAGGTTCTGGCTGTCCAATTGTACATGGAAACTTCCTCTACAGCTCCTTTAAACTTTAAATTTAACTCACTTTAGTTTTCAAAATCAAACTATAGATTTTTAGCTCTGACTTTCGCTGTGTCCATTGTCTTTAATGATCACCAGGCTGTGCCTC